TTTTTTTGGGAATAATAAAATATTCATAACTACCAGATTGTTTTAACGGATAAAATTGATATATTGAATTGCTTCTTCCCCGAGAAAAAATTAATAGCTGTGATTTGTTAATTGTTATGAATAGATTTACTCCTCGCGAAAATTATCTACACTGGTTATCATAAATTAAGGAAAAATCACAAAAATAGCGATAACTCTTTCAAAAGTAAGCCAAACCGTGCAAAATTTGCATATGTTGTCCACTAAGAGTAGCTGAGTAAAATTGCAATATGCAAATTAGTGGCGCTGCACTCGGCTTANAAGACGGAAAATAGTAAAAACTGGTAATAAATAAATTTCCTTTTTAGCCTTTTTTAATAGCTGTGATTTGTTAATTGTTATGAATAGATTTACTCCTCGCGAAAATTATCTATTATTGAAATAATTCTTCTTCCAGTCTTATTTTTTTTTTCGTCGCACTTTACAGGCCAGATTGCGACTAATGTTTTTGTGAAGTGTGGTATGTGTTTAAAGATTTTTTTCCTTCTGTATTAAGATCAAGAATATCTTTCTAAAATAAAACGTGAAGTATAACATTCAATCTATAGTAAGAAACTCCCACGGGTTTTCAGTAATTCTTAAAAGAGAAAATGAAATTCATAGAAAGCTCATTGAAAAAAAATGAATGAGTGTTTTAATTTCGTTTTGCAAAGTAGTATTTAATGTTCTGCTGCCTAGACTATACAAATAAAGCTTATTTTAGAAATGGAAAACTTTTCTTAGTAGATTTGGTTTAAACTGATACTAAGAAAAACTAATCACTTAAAACTTTTGAGTCCTTGTGAAGATAGCTGGTATTTTCTGAACCAGTTATTTTATATCTGTTACAGCATCACGTCTGTTTTGAAAATAAGATGACGCATCTAAAGGTCTGTCACAAAATGTGAAGCGGCAGTGTGATACGAGAAATGTTGCCTAAATCTTATTATTATTTTACTTTTTGTTAACTTCAAACTGTATTTTAAAACGTTGAATGCCACGCCTATATTACATGGCTTGCTCGTCTGGCCACACGGTAAATAACTTCAAACTAAATTTGCAAATATTAGACATATTTTGCTAGTTTTTAAAAGGTTTAGCATTACATAACTGAAAAATGTGGTGAATTATATAAACCTATTAATTGTTTAGAAATAGTGGTAGATAAAAATCTACTAAATTGAATTTATTAAACCAAGAATCACAATTAATAAACTACCACTTAAAAATATTTATTCGCTGTCCGGAGCAAGTTGGCATCTTTGTGTATATAAATAAAACTACTTTCGTGTGTTCTATATCGCACTAATTTATTCAAACCATTTTAGTTACGATAATAATATAAAAAAAATTAAAAATTTACTCGAATTATGCGTTCCTATTAATCTTGGCTTCGCCGATCACCGTAGACTCCCATGGCATTCAACGTGTTAATGTTCGAATCAGTCCTTAAATAAACTTATCGTGTATTTAAAAAAATTGTTTCTAAATTTGGCTTGAAATTGTAGGTTTTTTTTCAAGTTTCTTCTCCCCTACTTTAAAACTATAATTTAAGATTGTTTGTTAGTTCTATCAAAAAGTTTTCGAATTTCTCCCAATAGTTAATTACTAGGATTATTGAGCCGTGGTGGCTCAGGGGAAAGAGCTGTCGCCTCCCAATGAGGTCACACTAGTTCGAATCACAGCAATGGCTGGTTGATACGAATTCCACATCCGACACTGACCACAGAGGTGACATAAAGTATTGTAGGGAATCTACCACTACAAAGTTACAATTACAATTCACTAGTATATAAGACGTGTTAACTTAGTTCTATGACGGGTACCTTTTCATAAATGAAGGTTAACATGGTCGATAACTACTAGCCCCACATTGGTGACCCGGACGTGATGTGAACACGCCTACCTTGGCAGTAACGCCCACTTTGATATAAACACGTCTATCTTGACAATAACACCCACTTCGATGGATGGTCCACATTGAACAGTCAACTTGTGACTGCGACTTTATTCACCTCCTCGCACTGTTGCTACTCAGTTTCGCCTCGTCTCGATCACGCACAACGTCGGCTTGTATACATTCGACTGCTAACGGCAACGCAGGAGCGACTACGACCTGAAGTCAATACACCTCCTACATTCAGCACTCAAAAAGTACGGTGATCTTAATACAGCTCTCCCGTCTTCTCACAAAAACAGCAATGAATCAACTAGTGGTATTCGTTCATAGAATTTTATCACAGATATAATTCTGGTGGGGGAGTACTGTATGGAATCTACCACTACAAAATTACAATTACAATTCACTAGTATATAAGAAATGTTAACTCGATTCTATGACGGGGTACCTTTTCATAGATGAAGGTTGACATGGTCGATAACTACTAGTCCCACAATATCCTCAATGTTAGATGTATCATAGGCGAGAGTCCCCTTTCCATCTGGCTAACCGTGGGAGGTTTTTCCTCTTTATGTAACGTAAATGCGGGTTAGTTCTATCAAAAAGTCTTCCACGAAAGCGGATTTCTCCCAATAGGAGCTTTCTCGTCTTCTAGATTGCGTTCAAAATTAGAAGGCTACCGAGTTGAACATTGGTAGTCGCAAACGCATAATTGGGTCGGCTGTTCAACGACAGTTATAAAATAAAATTAAATTAAGATTATTAGATCAAAAATTATAAAGTAAATCAGAAATGTTTCTACTACTAGAAACAATTTACTTATAAAGCAATACAAATTGCTATCTTTGAAAGTAATTTTTCATATGATTTTTTTTTTCATATAAAATCATATATTTATTTAATAAAATTAAATTAATAATAAAATTTTGTACATTCGTATTTTAAGACTTTCACTTCAATCTAAGTTGAAATTAAATATTAAATAAATTTAAAAATCTTAAAAAGTATTCAAAATTTAAAATGTTTGGTTAAAGTAGGAAGAAAACAAGAAATGTCTTTGTAAACGTTAATATTTTTTTTAAAATTTAAAATACCATGTAATATATGGGTTTATTTTAATATAGAGTTTATATTAAAATAAACCTTATTTTTTTAAAGAAAATTATTATTATTATTATTTGCTTTTTGTTTTAATTAATTATCAAACACTTTATAAACCAACAACAATTGCAAAAGAAATAAATTTTATTAAAAATATTGTAACGAAATAACATATGGTTAACATAAGGTATTACAATACACTAATTTGCTTGTAACTATAAAAATAAGAAAACATGTAGTTCATTGATGGAATATACAGTAGAAAAATAAATAACATTTATTGGATTAATACTTCGTTTTCACAGAATTTTGGCGAAAATCGTGAATTACATCCGTTTGAAGTATACTAGAGGGCTTTTTATCGATAAAATCGATCTTAGTTGGAGTAGGGTTCTGATAATATTTATTTAAAAATATAGATATAAACATGTTATTGAACAATTTCGTTGCATCGTGCAAAAAGTATTGGAACTACACATTTTTTTCTAAAAGCATGGATCAGATATATTACTTAGCAACTTCTTGAGAAATCATGAAAAGCATCAATAATGCATAGAATTAGCCAGTTCATCAAATCACCGTTTACTATGTGTCTTAAAGGACCAATCATCAGGTGCCTGAATTTTGGCCTGGCGTCCCTGAATATAGCTTGTTGTCGTCAAATAATGAATACATGAAACCTGGCTAGAAAAATTGGAGGATAAAGGCCTGTTTAGACGATCCAATTTCTTGGACAGAGATTGATTGATATTGATGGAAACTTGTTTTGCTTTGAGCTTGGATCGTGTAAACAATCATCCAAGAACTTGGTCGAACTTCTTGGACGATAGTAGAGCATGTTCTACTTTCCATCCAAGTTTTTTCTCCCTTAACCAATCAGCGTCTTAGGTTTTGTGACGTCAACAATCAGGTAGCAAATTATGTCATTTTGTTGTCTGTTTTAATATATTTTAGTCCAAATAAATTGATCTGTTGCGGTTTATTTGTGTTATTATGATTTTATTTGAATTTATTTAGTAATTTTAACTTATGTAAGTATTATTTTATAATGTTGAATATGAACAATGCGCATGCGCAAGTTTTTCTTCCAACGAATCAGTGACATTAAAAAACTTCGATAGTGTCAACGAATCATCCAATTTCTTGGACAGAGAAATCTATCCAATTTCTCGGATTCAAGAAATTGGACCGTGTGAACAGGCCTTAAAAATGCGTTTTCGTTCTCTCTGTGATGCACGACTTCGTGTAAATAGTGATTGATTGGGCAATTCCAATAAACTGTGGGGGTGGTGATTTTTTCTCTCTGGTCTAACATATCCCACGGAATTTCTAAGGAGTTAAAATCAGGTGATTTTATTATCCAGACGAGGTGTAATGGGGTTTGTGAGGGTTCTTATAACCTGCCACTTACAATTTCAGCCAGATGATCTTCATGTCGCCATCTTAAAAAATTAGACAAATATTGATTAACATAATAAAGATGATCATGTATAAGGTAATACATGATTATTCAGTATGTTAAAATAAATATGTTTTAGGTAATCTCTAGTAGGCCCAATTTATGATAAGAAAAACATTAAAATATTACTGAGTTATTTCCAGCCTAATGATGGTTCTCATGATTTCTCTAGGCATGTTGGGTTTGGAGAGCTTATAATTACGAATTACTCTTACGTGTAGTGAAACAGTTTGAACGAGAAAAGGAACACTTGCTAAATATTATATTGAGCAAAGTTTACTTAATGCAAGTAACATACTTTTGGGCAATGCTTTCAAATGAAGAGCTTATTGTGAAACAATGATAAGCTTTTATTCTGTTCGCAAAATTATAATATCGATTGAATTTAGCCGCAGAAAATCCTCACAAGTACTAAATTATAAAACAACAATAGTGTTTACTAGATTTTTTACACCATTGGAATTAGATTTCATGGTTTTCTATTATTGTTGTTCACATTTGGAGTTTATCATTGTTTCGTTGTAAGCACTTCGATTGTTTTCATTGAGTACGTTTTTCTTTGAGGTCCACAGTCTCTAACTCAATATATATGTAACATAAATCTGTCTCATATTTACACAATAATGAGATGTTCATAACTAAACTCAGTTTGGGAAACTATGATATATCAAATAGAAAAAAAGCATAATTATTTATTTATTGACGTATTAAATAGTTCACGTAACTTCTCAATACAGAAATTCACCAATATACAATATTAAAAACGTTTTTTTGAATAAACGTGTTTGATTTATTTAACTTGGTTCGTAATAATAAAATTGAATTCATAGATTTATACCTCAGAATTAGGCATTAAGACAAATAAGGTTTTTGGTCTTGAACTCAAAATGTGTAATACTCTAAATGTTATATGAGTTCTAAATGTAATTTGTCCTCAAATCATAGTTTATAAACCTGGTCACCGTATGCTTACGTGAACATGCTTACTTGAACAGTTCTTACTAGAAACATGTGGTGATCGTAGAATTCATTATAATTGTTTCAAAATCAATGCAAAAATCTATTTCAAACTTCATAGAGTACAGGGGAACTCTTAAACCCTATTCAGGTATGCAAAACGGTTTCTTTAGATTTTAAACAAGCTGGAGGCAAATATTTACGTTTTGGCTTTCTGATCGATTAACAGTTAACAAAATAATAAAAAAAAACATACGTTATCTTTTTTTTTCTTATGGGAAGGTACATAATACCTTTTCCTTTTTATTCATTATATGTAAATAGTCTGTGAGATATTTTTTCAAAAATGTCACAGAATATTTTCCCACCTTCAGTTTAATACTTCATTTAAAAATACAAGTACAATTTAAACAGTGAGTGCAGGTTAAATATAATTGAAGAACTTAACGAAAGTAGGTCTTAAGTGCCATTTTTGTAACTTCAAAAATACTAGCTACAGGCAACAGCAAGCAACTGTCAACGAAGCACTTTTTCCTACTAAAAAAACAGTCTGATCTGATATCCATAAACACAAATATTGTGTCATTTCAGAATGTCACAATTGCAATAAGCTCTTTAATTGTGAAATAAAAAAATCGCAACAGCTCAGAAAAATAATAGCACGGGATTCTTCACGGCGAATTACTTAAAATGATTCGAGTATTAATTCATCATGAAAATGAGCGTGACAAAATATTATTTATGATGAACGATATCCAATATCAAATGTTGTCTATACAAAAATAATATAGCATCAGGTATAAAAACCAACCATACTTTGAGTGTTTAAATATGCAAATGATAAGATAACACACATAATGCATGTCTCTCAACAATTGAATATTTTCAAAGATACATAAAAAGTTCAAGGAAGTGGAGTGAACTAGATCCTCCTAAAGCTTCTTTTGTACAGGAATAGACGTTGTGTTGACGTAAGACCATTCACACTGCATGCGATTCACGCACCTCAGATCGCTGTTGAGAAAATGAGAATTTATGAATGCACATGAGAATGTATTTCTCCAATCAGTTTTCGTTTACTTTTGCGGAGGAGCGTGAGTTGAAAGCAGTGAGAATGGCCATTTAAGCAACAACTATTTTAAATTTTCAGTCTTGAACGTAGGTCAACAACGGCTCTTTTCATTAATATTCATCCACACTTTGAGTTGTGGCGATGTTGAGACGGTGTTCTTCATCTTGTCAGCAAACTTGATGGGCTTCTCAGTTATGGGTGGTTCCATATCATTGCTGTTCAGACGATTTCGGAATTTTTTAGTCAGGAGTTGCGTCAAAGAGATGAATGGGGCTTCGAATCCCATAAACAGTATGTAGGCTATGACCAGAGTAGCCACCATATTGGTGAGTGCCTCGTAGAACTGCATAAAAGACACTACATTAATAATTTGGAAAACATTAAATAATGATATAAATGTGGATATAATATGTTACTTGGCGTAATTAATCATAAGATATGGCTAATATTTCATATTACAGGTATTTGCATTCGATGCAGATTTTATTTATTCTGATGGTGATTCGTAGCATCTAAATGTATGTAGCAAAGAACAATAAAATAACATTTGTAATTCATTATTCGTGCTATGTAGCATTTAATTTCAGGATTTTATTTGTTCAAAATATCTTCAGTTGATATAAGTTTTGAATGAAAATATACGAATTAAGAAATAAGCTTTTTAACAATATATCATGTAATAGATAAGGACTGATTCTTGTTTCTATTACAAATAAATAAATGAACCATTTTGGAAATATACAGTGCCTTTCATAGAAGGTAAATACTTTTATTTTATTAAATAAAAACACTGAGAAAATATTGGTTCCACAGTTAAATTAAGATTAACAAGAAACGTTGTTAGTGAATTTATTTCGCAGTTACAATTTAGCCAACAGTAATTATGACAGTGAATTTGTGTTACGATTGCATTTCAGTCAATAAGAAACGCTGAGTGTGAATCTATTCTACGGTTACATTTTAGCCAGTAAGAAATACCAATAAGGAATTTTCTTCTGTGTTATATTTCAGCCAGCATATATTGATATACAAGACATTTTAAGCCTTTGCTCTCCGATGTCCCCACGGAGGCACCATCAACAGTCACCACTTTACAATTAAGAAATTTTATAACCTATTAATTAGAAACCACATTATTTTAAAATTGTGTAACAATAGTATATTGTGTTTTTTAAATGCTATAGTGCTGATTTTAGATCAAACAGCTTTTAAAAGTACTCCGAGAGCAAAGGGTTAAAAAACAACTTTTTAAATTACATAAAATATAAAGCGAGGTACTTAAACTTTATGTTTTTTTAAGAGAATAGTAAAATTTCTTCTAGTGGTTCTAAGTTTATGTTTCAATGTGAGATTCCTTGTCTTGTAAATTTGATTTAGAATTAATTTTCACACAACAACACGCAAGCGATTCGAAGCCTCATATGGAACTCCACTTTGTTCCAGCTCTCCCATGGTGAAGTTCTTATAATGCAGGCAAAAATCACCAAAATTTATGAAAGCTTAATTGTTTAACTACTCAATAAAATATTTTGCAAAAATGCAACAATAATGACTGTAAAATGCAACTCTAGAAATCAGTTGCAAATATATCATTAAAAAGATTACACACAGGAAATCATCATGAATTTACTACAAACATATGAATGTACAGATAAACTTAGAATTGTAAGTTTTTTTATAAAAACGAATCATCTTCACAAATTTTTAGTGTTTATACCTATGACCGAAAAATATGAATTCTGATTATAAAATAACGTGTCTTAGTTGATAATATTGTAATATTTTAAGTGGTTATCTTCTATTAGTTAATAAGCATGTCTAATTAGTTATGTTTTAAAAGTTATAATTAGTAAATTATCATACCCAAATAGTTCTAAATAGTAAATTTGCACGTTTTTAAAAATCGGCATAGTTTAATAGTTAAAATAGATTAATCATCAAAACATAGTTATATGGCATCTGATAATAGTTCTGGTTAACTTTTTAATAGGTTTCTTTTAATTATCATACCTTAAAAATTGCAATTAGATAATTAACGTTTCGTACTTTGTTAATACGAGCCTTACTTAGTAATTCGAATTAGCTAAATGTCATAACTTAGTAGCTGAAATTCTGATGACTTAATCAAACATAAATAATTGTCTTCTTCTAACTAAAAAGCTGAAACTAACAGTACATAAAACTTACGATTTCCAATTCATTGACAAAAAAATGAGATTTTCTGAATCCGTTGACCATTGTGATGACGGGCACATGCATCAAGTGAGCGAGGAACACCAACCGCGCCAAGAAAGCAAATGGGCGCCAAGACAGGTAATCTTTTATTAAACCTATTCAAAGAGGTAAATATTTAATTATATCTATACATAATAATAAACGCGGCTGTGTGTGTGACTGTAATCACAATATATCGCCCCAGAAGCCTCGCCCGGGCACGAAACTCGGCCCATAATTGTGTTTTGACATAATGAAGAAGTATTTTTTTTCTTTTTCAAAAATTTTGATTAGTTATTTAGTTATCAGTCATTTTGTAAGTCTATGCTTTTCGTCTGCTTTTTCGTCTTCAAAGAGCCATATTCAAAAAACTATTAAAAAATGCATATACTTTTCCCCACTCTTATAAATGTATGCTAATGCGAACCTTACAATTGAAATATTAATTTTCGACAACTTAAACCAATAATATACGAAGGAATTAATAATTTAATTGTAAAGTTCGCATTAGTTTACATTTATTAAAGTGGAGAAAAGTTTAACTTTTGTATTAAAAATGTGGCAACATATTCGATACGTAAATAGAACGCTTCGCTTTGATATATTTGTCGCTGTTCATAATTGTTATAATAAGTTTTTCTTCTTCTTTCCACGCTCTATTTTTTTTTTCTTAAGCGAAGACGATAATTTTTATAGCGATATTGTAGTACTTTGTACAACTAAAAATTCTTTTCACAACACTTTAAAAATATTTACTTTATTTTCTTTATATATACAGAGAACAGTCGGCAAAGAATTCGATTAGGTTGAAAAACATTTCGCTAAAAAGGAACGAATTCCAAAAGAAAAAATAAACAACTTAAAGAATAAAAATGCTGATGCCAGCCAATTTTTTGAAAGTTAACTTAGAAATAACAAACCAAACGATGTTAAATAACAAACCAAACGATGTTAACAAAATGACGTAGAAAGCGCAACTAGATCAAAATTATACAAGCACAACTAGATCAAATTATAATACCTGAGTGCTTGACGTAACAGATATAGAAATAGAATTTGATACCATAAAAAATTATATAGAAATAGAAATTGATACCATAAAAAATTTATTCGTTTTCGTGTTCTTTTCATGTATTTAGCATTTTAGTTTTTTTTTTCTTAAGCGTTGTAGCTATATAATTTCAAACATCCTCAAGAGCTATAACACATCTGCAGCAGAACTGGATATGAAGACAAAATTGTAAGCTAGGAACACTTTAATTGTCCACTAATCTTCAGATTTCCTGCTATGTTTTAAAAAACTTTATTTGTGAAAACCTTCAGCGTGGCAGACAGCTGGTCGCCTTAGGCGGCTAGTATATATATATATATATATATTTATATATATATATATACAAATAATAATATAATATAAAACTATTAATGTGAAAAAGCAAAAGTCTACCTCAGGACACATCTTTTGGAATAATTTAACACGTTCACGCCAGGGTGACCCACCGGTGGGTCACGCTAGATTGTCTCATCTTGGCGGCGCACCAGAGTAAAAACTGGTAACAAATAAATGTCATTTTTTAGTTTTTTCCGGGAATAATAAAAATCCATAACTACCAATTGTTTTTAACGGATGCAATTTTTATATCGCCGTGATAAATTTCCTTACAGTGAATCGTTATTGTTGAGAATAGATTAACTCATCCCGAATATTATCTAATATTAAAATAGTTCTTCTACCAGTATTTTCTCTTTTCCCGGCGTGAACGCGTTAATAAGATATTTCTGAATGAAGAATAATTATCCTAAGACAAAAATTATTGTTCATAATGTGCCTATATCGCTAAAAATAAAAAAATTTAAAGTAATCGGGTTCGAATCCTAGAGATGGCTGGTCGATACGAACTCCACACACTGCTCGCACCGACCACAGTGTTGACGTATAATATCCTTAATAGCAAGCGGGTCATGGGTTAGAGTCCCCTTCCCATCAGGCTAACCGAGGGACATTTTCGTGGTTTTCTTTTCCATGTAACGCAATTGCGGTTAGTTCCCTCAAAAAGTCATTTGCGAAGGCAAATTTCTCTCAATACTTGATCTAGGAGTTCCCTAGTCTTCTCGATTGGGTTCAAAATTACAAAAATTGGGCCCAAAATTGGGCTGGCTGTTCATCGATGGCTATAAAATTATAAATTTAAGTTATATTTTCAATGATTTTTCGTGTATCGAGTATCTAATTTACAATCCAACGGCCTTTAACATCTCGATCACTTTTTTGGAGACTTTCCCCTTGGCTGTAGTTGGTCGCAATTATAATGCAGACTTTCATTTCTTACAAAATATGCCACCTGTACTTAAAAAAGACGAGAATAAAGATTTTTTTAAAAATTATTACTACAGAAAATGCCAAACAGGAGAGCGGATCGTTAAAAGCCTCTGGATTAAAAAATCGTAACTACCCGGCTACAGGAAATTTATACTAAAAAAGATTCATTTCCACATAGTTTTGACAGAATTTAAGAATATATTTTAATCATTGTTTTAGAACTTGCTGCTCGCTGTAATTGCTTTTCCTTCATCATTAATTTTTTTAGACGATATTTTTGCCAAAAAAAAAATATTATTTTGTTAATAAAATATGTAACTATCATAATTCCATGTGAGTACAATTTGTTTATATGTCAATCGTATTATTTGGATTTGAAAAAAAATTTAAATAAAACCATTGGTATTTTTTTAAAATTTGTTTTTTAAAAAGAAGGAAACTCTTAAGAAAACTGAATGTGTGTACAATAAGAAAAAATAAAAGATAATTAATTTTACTTGATGACTGTAAAGAACAATAATTTTCATCAGTCAAATTTAGATTCCAGATTTTTTTAATAACTTTAAGTGTATTTTCTTTATATTTTTAATTTTTTAAAAATTATAAACATAAAATAAAGATGTAAATGAAATGAAAGGAAACTAAGGAAAATAGAATGTGTGTACAATAAGAAAAAATAAAAGATAATTAATTTTACTTGTTGACAATAAGTAACAATAATTTTCATTTGTCAAATTTTAATCCAAGATTTTTTAATAACTTGAAGCGTATTTTCTTCATAATCTTATGTTTTTTAAAACTATAAATATACAGGGTGTTTATAAATTCCCGGACCCATTTTAATGTTTAATAACTCATAAAATAATGAAGATATAAACAAACTTATAGAATTTATTGATGGAATAACTCATATATTTTCCTTTTCAGGTTTGAATATCTTTACTTTTGTAAATATCGTCTGCGCGTGTGGTTAATTTCAGATAATTTCATTTTCAGTCTAAATATCTGTACTTTTCTAAATATCGTCTGCTTATTAATTGCATTTTTCTCTCTTTTGTTTTTGGCAACTATTGCAATGTTATGTTCACTTTTGATGTGTTTGTTCTTTGTAGTACTTTTCTATGTGATGTTTTATTCGATCGGATATTAAGGAGAATGCATACACCGACATGCTAGCCGCTACCTGGCGTGAAATTGACTATCGACTTGATATTCTCCGTGCGCCGAAGGCGGCACACGTGGAAGTTCATTGACAAGGGTCATGAAACTTTTCGAGTCTATCTAACCATTTATGTTATTAATTTTAATCTATCTTTATTATTTTATGAGTTATTAAACATCGAAATGGGTCCGGGACTTTATAAACACCCGGTAAAATAAAAATGCAACTGCAAACTTACCCCCGTGTCCAGTCATGCAAGCGACGGATACCCAAGACAGAAAGGCTGCTTCAGCAACCTTGCTGAAGGACGTGTAGAGGGCAGAAACAAGAGGACTAGGCACAAGCCCTGTGTTCCACTCATGCACAACTGTCGATGATGCTGCAAATCCTGTCAAAGTTATTATCCATAGGAACCAGCTCATTTTCTAAAGGAAATAAAAAGATTTTATGTAGTTCTTCTGAAAAGCTCTTCATTTAATTACATACATTTATAATTGGGTACTTGCACTTCAAGAAGAAGAAGAAGACCACAGCTACCAACACATGTGATCTATGACGTCAGCGCCAGCCGATCGCTTATGGCGTGTTAAATATGAGCTAAGTTTCTATCGACACAAAGTAAGAATGCTACTTAACGTGAAGTTAATTAAGTACAGTGCCATATCGCATATCGAATTCGCTGAAATATAATTCTCTCTCATCTACGTCTTTAGCTTAACTTATATTTATTATTTGATTATGTCTTTTATTGTAATTGTGTTATATTTTTATTTTGTGTCTGGCAACTTTGATGCATAATTAGTTTGTTTATGTTCTGCAAGGGTTCTTACCTGTATTTGCGTTAAGTAAGAAATATATAGTGAAAGATTTGAAATCTTAGTGAAAGAATAGAGACTGTGTCACTGAAGAGAATTGATACTTCACGGGCTTGGCTCACTCGAAATAGAATGGAAAGAGAAGTTGCTAACGTAAACCAATCTCACTCGCTGGTATCTTAATTTATGGAACTTAAAGATTTGAGGTATTTACAATGTATGCCAGAGTCACAAGTGCATTTTCATAGCTTAATGCAAGGTGACCAGATTTATAAAATGATTCGAGAACAAATTATCAGAGCATCCTCGAAAAATTTTACGATTTCAGGATGCCATGTATTTATGGAAAATATTAATTTATATGGGCAACAAAGTTTTTTTCTTTTTAATTGATCACTAACATCAGTTGCTGAATCATCTTTATCAAACTTGATTTCATTACTAAGTAGTTTCGAAATATTATATAATATGTTGTTGTTTATTTTTTGCTGAAATTATTTTAAGACGAGTATTGAGTTTTCATCTGTTAGTTTTAGCATGGTGCTTTTTTTTTCTTCTCTTTTTCATTGTGAGACAAAATTATCGTGTTTCTACATTTCCGATTTTTGTTGTTGATATTTTACTGCATTAAAAATATTATATGCTTTCGGGAAAATTTGAGTATATTTGAGGAAACTTGCTAAAATTTAGAGACATTTTCTGTCTTCAAAGCTTTTGAAAGGTTTGAGAACAATGAAGAAAATTTGAGAACTATCCTCGAGATTTGTAGATGTCTGGTCACCTTGAGTTTAGGAAATGATTTAATTAATTAACAAGAGGATATTTTTTTTACCTACCATTTTAGCTTTTAAAAAGCACTGAGTCTGAACTTAAGATCCAAATAAATCTTCCTTTATATACAATTGTTATTTTATAGTTCGTAGAACTATATTATTTCTGCTAAATAAACTTTAATGAAAAAACACTTATACTACCAATTTTTACTTTTTTTGAAAAAAAAAGGAATTAGTTTTTTTAAAAAATTATTCTAGGTGGAAGTAGTTTTCTTTTTAAATTACGCTAAACATAGATGGGTTAAATGGAGGAAAAGTATAGGATAAAACAGCACTTTATAATAACAGTACTGCACAGAACAAAGTACTTTTTTATTTTAAAATTTTGATGTTTCATTAAAATTTATTAAGTAACTAAAGAGAACTTTTGAGAAGCAAAAATGATATTTAAAATACTTAAATCAATATTTTAATTGATAAATTAAAAAAAATGCTAATTCAATAGGAAATTTTCTTCCCTCTTAAATTTTTCTGGAAGTTTTTACGTACTGGCATTAAATCTGGAATGGTCCACAATTCGACCATTTTTTTAAATTCATCTGCATTATTGTTTTAAGAGTAGGCTGTAATTAAAAAAAATATCTCTTTACTGAATACCCATTGTGTTTTCCAATACTTTTCATTGTGTCCTCCTTTTTTACAAGATTCGTTTAATACACTGGAGGACAAAATTAAGAGATGGAAGACATTTTCCCAAATATCTCAAAAAATACTGAATATAAATAAATGAAATTTGGTATGGATATAGATTATTCCATGATAATAAAGTATGCAAAACAAAACTGAAAGCGCCATTCACTGGCAAGACCTATTGCCAATAAATCCAATGTAGTCTGAATTTAAGAATAAAAGATGACAATAAAAGTGAGGCTTGTACAGTGTGTGTTGCCTCTGGCATGGTGTATGGTCACCCCTGACAGACAGCATGCACAACGAGTATGCATGCTGTTAATAAGGGAGTTAAGGAGGACTTGTGGAAGACCCTCCCATTCTTCCACCAGAGCAATTTTTAACTCTAGAATGGTTCTGGGGGGAGGTTGGCGCATCGCAATAGGTCTCCCAAGAGCATCCCAAGCATGTTCAATCGGATTCAGGTCAAGGGATTTGGCTGGCCAATCCATTCGTTGAATATCCTCGCTTTCCAGATACTCATCAACCATGAGAGCCCTATGTGGCCGAGCATTGTCGTCCATAAAAATGAACCCAGGGCCAACAGCGCCCCTGAAAAAATGTACATAGGGCTCTAGGACCTCCTGCCTGTACCTCTGGGCATTCACGGAACCATTGTCAAACACATGGAGATGTGTGCGTGTATATTGCATGTGCAAATGAATGTGCGAAAATGCTTTCCATCTCTTAATTTTGTCCACCAGTGTAGTTGTTTTAATTCAGTTTTTGTTCAAAGACCAATGCCAGGTAGCAGTGTAAAGTTTATTTTAATGTCAGCAACAACTTAGACCAACAAGGCTTATAAATGATTAGAAAATAAACCATACAAGCTTGAAACAATGTTAAACTTAACTATTCTAGTTTACGCTTTTTAAGGTTCACTTTTCACAACCCTTTTACGCCGAGATTGAATCTGGCTGAAAAAGCATTCTGAAAAAGAGAATGAATCACCATTCGCAAAGCAAGACTAGAAAGCATTCTCAAACCGAGGATAAATTTACCTTCTCAAGGTTTATTTTAGATTTTATAACCATCCCTGAAACAAGGTTTATTTTCACAAGTGAAATATACATTTTTTAACACTTTAATGTTAGGTGAATGTTAGCCTGATCATTTCGTTTTCAACACAACGAAAATGTTGCATCTAAGCGCCTGGACAAAGATAGAATGAAAAAAAAAAAGCAAAAACAAGGTTTACAGTACTAAAAAAATATATAGTTTTGTAACGTCTTTTGCATGCCTTTATTAAATCATTAAATAAACAAGTTTGCCATACTAATATTTCTACTGAGTTTAAAAAAAAAAAGATTAATTAGTCAAGCTTTCTTAGCCAACCAAATGAAACTGAAAATACAACGCTTGCCGTAAGGTTGCCAGCTATCTGAAATAGTTCGGAATAGAATTGGTGTTCTAAATGCCATAAATGTTCTATTATAAGATGAATTATCAATTCATTATTTATATTTAAAGCTATCATCATATAAAGGGCTTCATGTAAAACAATAATGGTTCGTAAGAACAAAGTTCATAAGCAGAATTCATTCATAATTCAATATTTACAAAAATTTGTAAAAGTAATTTAGCAAACTTTCTTTTTTGAAATGTTCTGTTTCAACTTTGTTTCATGATTTTTCATCACAGTCAGCGTTAGAATAATAGAGTGACAATAAAACAATGCATATTTTTCTCAAAATGACAGCTTTTGAGTTAAATATATATTTCCTTTAACAAGTTTGGCTTTCAGGTAGCTGTTAAGAACACATTTAAATCATTTGGTGGGTGATCATTATGTTTCCTAAGAGTTCTCTTTAATAAGGAAATACAGAAAAAAAATATAAAAACGTATTTAAAGAGATATATAGTATCAATTTTGAAAATTGATGCAAATGGACTTACTATTGTTTAACTAAAAATTATGGTGACAAATAATGTAATTGTAATGTTTCTTTCTCAAAAGAATAATAGATGCCTGTGATTCAATTTCAAGTAAAATTTTCCTCAATAAATATAATAACAAATGAAGATCCGAGTGGATGAATATTAGTGAATTTATGCAAATTAGCTTTTAAAATTTATAATTTACTTTTTGTATGTGCTGAACTCTTTATGCCTTGTTTATATGACTTGTCCCCAAGCTTTCAAGAAAAGAAATCTTTAAATGTCTAATACTCATTTAAAGCGTTTACTTAAACTGTTAAAAATAACTGTAAATTCGACAGAAAAAAATAACTTTTTTTTTAAACAGAAAAACACTGTTTAAAGATAAATACGTATTTTTTCTGTTTCTAATCGCTTGCCGCGCGCTGCAACAAATGCCCATTTTTTTAGAGACTTTCATCGTATATTTCACGGTTTAAAGCTATTTTTCACCAAAAACTTTTTTTTTCTATTCTTCACCCTTATTATAAAGGGATTAAAACAGTCGATTCAAATTCTAGTTTTTGCCTTACATAAAGATTCCTTCACAAAGATTTCAATTCTTCACTATATATTTCTTACTTCACTATATATTTCTTAAGCCCACGTAGAACATAAACAAACTATAATTATGTATCGAAGTTGGTAGGTACACAAATTACCTCGGTAACAATACATAATAAATAATAGGTACATAAATAAATAATGAATTTAATTTGTGCAGAAGACGTAGCCAAGGAAGAAATGTATTTCGACAAATTTGATGCGTGATAAGGCGCTGTATTTAACTTACTTCACGTTAATTAACATTATAAGTTATGTTGCGAAACTCAGATCAACCTTAACACGCCATTTGGCCTATAAATGATCAGCTGGAGCTGATGTCATAGGCCACATGTGTGGGTATCCGTGATTTTCTTCTTTTTGAAGTGCAAGTACCCAATTGCAAGTTTAGAATGCATTTGGCTCATGGACGGTTGCATAATGATATGGAAATGTCTTCATAAAACGCATTTCTCTCCTGCTTCAAATATTAAAAAATTCATTAAATTTAAAATACAGTTTTAAATTATTATCCTACCTGAGGAAATTAATAAGCACAGTTATTAAAACAAAAAATATTGAATCGCCGATGAGTTTAAATGAACTATTCTCTTTTTACCTTCCATTTCTTTCTAACTTATAGTTTAATTTGTTTTAGCTTTTGCGAACGCGAGAAAAGAAATATCATGGATTTTGTGATAGTATAAACATCAGTTGGTTGGTTGGTGTCGTATCCTCTATTGTATCATATTTCATGGTGTGCTTGAATAGTTTTTGTTATTTCTATGGCATTAAATGAATACAAATCCTCTTCTGTGGGGTAGTTTGAGAGGTGAAGGCCTGCAGCGACTGCAGGGCAGTTAAAAACATGATATGGTGTCAGTTCCACATTAAGACAGTTGCCACAGTTTTGATATTTTCTAGTCCCATCTGTAGAAATTTTCATATTTTTATGATGTTTTGTTCTTAGTCTGATGAGAATAGCGGCTGTCTTCTTATCGATGTCAAGATCAGTTATTTGATCGTGGGCTTTGATATAAACATCAGTGTTTTCAATAATACCGATACTTGTATGACTATTTGCAGATTACAAAATAAATGAACTAACCTGAACAAATACATAGGAAAGTATGAGCACTTACTTTAGATATCTTGAGGTCTGAATACTCGTGGACTAAAAATGCCACAAATATACCACAGCAATACATAGTCAGGTGGGTATATACTCTGTAATAAGAATGCTCAGCATAAAACATTCTGTCCCTGAAATTTGGAAAAAAAGGTATTAAATGTTTGATGTTTTCATTTAAGATTTCTATTTGTCACTATATCATACAACTGTCACTAAATATAGATTAATACATTACCTCAGGGGTTCACTAAAGTTTGTAGGTTCTAGCATCTTTTAAAGATTTTTTTTATCGTGTCCATGGACAATTAAATGGCCTCGTGTGCCTTCAAACAGCACCAGCAAGCTCCAATACATCATTACTGTAAAGGATCTCACGAAGTTCTGAAGCCAGTGGCACCACACCCAGTTGTAAAACATATGGGGTAAGGGCTGGGCATGTGATACGGGGTAAGTTGGACATCGGTGCAGTTCTTGCAGGGAATATAAGTTCTTATTTCGTCGGGAAGAATTTTCATCCCTTTAAAGTGGTTTGCTCTTAGTCTAGTAATTGTTGATGTTAAGATTCGGGAACAATCAAAGTTAGTATTTTAAAGATTTAAAATTGCGTTATAGCAGCTGATTCTTTTAATATTTGTCTGTAGTATAGTTTTCGAAGATCAAGGAAAAGAACTGTTTAACTCAGAAAAATAGTTATCTTTTTTTGAATTTTTTTTTAAATTTTTAAGTACTACATCCATAACTTAGCCTTAGACTTTTCTACTTTGAAACTTTCTTGCTTTGAATAGCAACAATTTATTACTAAAAATAAATATTAGACTCGAAGTCAAGTCACACTTTGGTAATCTCTGAAATATGTATTACGATATTTCGCAATCATTTCAAAACTAAACTTATACATGGGTTTTGCAGTTCGGATTGAGAAAAATTTGCATTTGGTTCTAGTACGAGATATTGGGTTAGTTTTCTATCTTTTGTTTGCATATATCTCAAAACATAACCCTATGGAAAATACGTTTCTTTTAACTGAAAATGTAAGAAACGGTTGCGTAGCAAAACAGATTGAAAAGTACAATTGAAGGATCGTGTTCAAAGTTTTTGGAAAACGGTGTCATTTTTAAAAATGTAAAATTTATAAAGACTAAAATGAGCGAAGAAAGCTAGACTTTTTCTCTTTTTTATAGCCGGCAATTAGAAAAAAATTAGTTTGTGATTTAAATAAAAGGAAAGGTTTAAATTGTCATAAAATAGGAAGAAAAGCTCGTAATTTTTTCCGTTAATTTTCGAGGCTACAAATTTTGCATGGATAAAAGTTTTGCAATTTCTAATTACTTTAATTTTAATTTTTCAAAATAATCTAGCGGTATTGCTATGTGAAACTTACATTACTATTAATTACATTACTATTAATATACATTACATTACTATGTGAAAATACATTTTAGTAAAAGAAAGGCTTTTTACATAAGATTAATATATCATTGTTCGCAATATTTTGTCCATGTCCTACCCCTGCATGTCCTTTATAAGATCCGGAGTTAAAACAAATAAAACCAAGTTATTCATAACTACATTAAAAAAACAATTAAATTGAATATTATGGTCTTAAAAATAAGAATAATTAATTGATAAACTTTAATTAAATTAAAGTTGTTAGTACAGTACGGAGCAAATAATATTCATGAGGTAGAAAGAAAGCTGTCAGCTACTCACTTTACGTGAATGAACGTAAGCATTTCATTTGGAGGCAGATCGTAATAGACGTTGGTAAGTGCGACAGATGCCAAGCTTACTACAGCTAACAAGAAGTTGACCAGCAAACCAATCCTTGGTCGCCTAAAAACGAATATACCATATATAATTTGTATATTAGTAGATAATGTTCTGCTGTAAGTGAAAATATTCAAAATTTCAGAGAGAATGTTCCAAGTTCCAAAAGCAAAAAAGTTCTGTAATTAGTATGAACAACTTTATTCAAATTTTAAAATCATTTCCGTGAAAAATAAATGCATTTTTAAAACATTATTTTTAATACTATTTAAGAAAATTGTCTCGATTTTGGAATTAGTATAATTTTTGCATTATGGTACTGAGTGAAAGAAAAAAGTACTTAAAAGATTCCTGTAACTATTTCATATGTATTATCATAATCAGCACCTGAGGCCGTTATTTAATCTGTAATTTAGATCAGGATTCTTATACGGTCCTTGGAATATTTAAAAAGTAGTGGCAATGTTCCAATAGAGAAGTTCCGAATTTCTTCTTACTAGTTTTGACTTTAAAAATATCTATGGGTCGCATTTCGCTACTAGATATGCTTGTTTGAAAATATTAAGAATTGTGGTATGCACAAACATATTAAAATACATTTCCTTGTTTTAATTTGCTTACTACTTTTAAAAATTTTTAAGGACTGTTTGAACCCTAATATTTTACAAAAAAATTTTATACTTCTTTCGTCCTAAATTAGTTGCATTTAAGTCGAAAATTTTGTCTCAAATTAGTTGCTACAATTCAAGTAGGTGGAATCATAAATAACTTCCGATGCAGTTAAGTAGATCGACAAAATTCGCCATTCATTAGTTTTAGACGAAAGTTTTAAGCAATGGGATACCGGCAAGTGANAACACTAGAAATATTGATGGTAGACTTAAATTAAAAATAAAGATAAAACATGATTTGATAAAATATCTATGGGACAAGTTTCGCTACTAGATATGCTTGTTTGAAAATATCAAGCATTGTGGTATGCACAAACATATTAAAATACATTTCCTTGTTTTCATTTGCTTACTACTTTTAAAAATTTTTAAGGACTGTTTGAACCCTAATATTTTACAAAAATTTTTTATACTTCTTTCGTTCTAAATTAGTTGCATTTAAGTCGAGAATTTTGTCTCAAATTAGTTGCAACAATTCAAGTAGGTGGAATCATAAATAACTTCCGATGCAGTTTAGTAGATGGACAAAATTCGCCATTCATTAGTTAGATGAAAGTTTTAAGCAATGGGACGTTTTAAGCAATGGGCAAGTGACGTAGTGTGGGTATATCGACTCTGACTGGTTGTTGAAACGTAGTATTTGTTTACGTTATCAACTGTTCTTTCCATTCTATTTCGTGTGAGCCAAGCCCATCAAGTATCAGTCCTCTTAAGTGGCACATTCTAATTTCTTTCAAAAAGATTTTCTCGAAGATTCCAATTCTTTCACTGAATATTTCTTACTTAGCACAAAGACAGGCACAAAGCCACGTAGACTATAAAGAAACTAATTATGTATCGAAGTTGCCAGGTACGCAAAGCAAAAATATATCACTGTTACGATAAAATACATAAGCAAATGATAAATTTAAGTGAAGTAAAAGACGTGGAAGAGAACTAATTATATTTTAACAAATTCGATGTTCGATACGGCGTACGTATTTAATTATCTTCACGTTAATTAACATTCTAACTTATTAGGAGAGACTTAGCTCGACTTTAACACGCCATCTTGTTTATAAATGACCAATAGACGCTAGGTCATATGTCACATGTCTAAGTATCAAAGATCTTCTTTTCCTTCTTGAAGAGCAAGTACCCAATTCCTGGTGGAGGAATCGTTACAAGACAGGGCGTGGTCTAAGAGCTTGCCAGCCCTGCATCTCTAAAACTAATTTAAAACTGATTAACCCTTTCGCGCCGACTGTCACAAATATGTGACAGCATAAAACCGTATCAATCAGGGTAAAAATATAAAACTGGTAATCAAAGTATTTCTTTAACAGTTTATTTGTGGGCGGAGTTATAATTGTTTGATTTATTTAATTCACCATTACTTTGTTCAAAATAAAACTATTTAGTTATACTTTGAATTAACATTGATTTTATGTGTGATTAAACTAACAATAATTAAAGTAAAAGCAAAGTAATTCTGTCAAATCAGCAACGACTTCATTTAAGTTACCGTTTTTTATTTAATTACAACTTGATTCTGATTTTGTACGAATGCATTTCTGAATCATCCGTCCCCAAGGGGTTAAAGGAGGAAATGTTTGGTAAGTAAATGGAGTTGATTGATAGCATAGTATCCTAAATTCTCTGAAAAGTGTTCAAACATATTTATAAATTTATCAGTATCAATAGTCAGTACAAAAATGCTCAAACATAGCAACTAATTTGGGACAGAAACTAAGAGTTCTAAATGTGTTATATGAAACCGAGAAAAAAAGTTATAAATAATTAAAAAAAAGTAAAGATTTTATTCAGTTAGTTAAAAAAATTATTTTTGGGTAAATTTAATATAGTTCAACTATTTTTTAAATGTGTCCCATTGCCACACATTACCATTCTGATATTGTCAAACACAACCATTGAAATTTTAACTATAACCATTGTAACTACATATTGAATTCAATAAGCGTAAAAACATACAAATTAATTACAAAAATAAATCATGGATAAAATATAGTTGTTTAATGTCTATAATGCACGTTTTGGTAAGTAAATTATTATGTTTTTTTAATGTTTTAGAAGTTACATTAAAAGTAAGATTTAATTTATAAGAGTGAAATTCATTCCATAATAAGAATAATCAAATACTTACATTTTCAGTGGTATTAAAATAAATACTGATAGTACATGAAGTTGAGCGTACACAGCAAATACCCAAGTGTGATCTAGACACTGAAAAAACATATATTGGTTAATACAAATTTTCATAAATATACAAAAATAGATCATTTAAAAAAATTAATATTTGTACTATCTTGTTAAAATAATTGTCGGAATTTAATAACGGATAAGTATTTTAAATATTTAACACGTTGAGCGTCACGTTAACCATCGGTGGTTGACACTGAAATTACATTTAAGCAGCGTCAACCACCGGTGGCTGACACTGACCTTTCACATAGACCGCGAAAAACAGCTGGCTGACAGCGTATAACATGATATAGAACTACAAAATTTACACTCTTTTATGGAATTGCAGAAAATGTATTCACAATTTACTTAATTATTATGATTCTTGGTTTAATAAATTCAATTAAGTAGATTTTTATCCATCACTATTTTTAAAGAATTCGTAGGCATATATAATTCACCACTTTTATAATATATAATATTGGTCGCTTCGCGACCCAGGTGCCCAATAAAATCAAAACATTAGGACAAGGAAGATATAATATCATGCTAAACCTTTGATAAACTAGCAAAATCTGTTTATATTTGCAAATTTAGTTTGCAAATTTACCATGTGGCTAGACGAGCAAGACATGTAAAATTAGCGTGGCATTCAACGTGTTAAAAGAAGTTTTAAACTAAGGAGACATTTTCTATGATATTTGGAGATATTTTTTGAAAAAAAGATAGATAAAAAGAATTAATACATACATTTATTTATTTAGATAATTTAATTAATTTGGCTGCAGACATTTTCAGCATATTTGAAAAAAAAGTTTAGTTAATTAAAAGTAAAGATTTATTTTAAATATTTTCTTTAAATACATTAGATTAAATTTAAATACATTAGAGTTTTGAATTCTCAAGATTATATATTTTTTCACACTGATAGCTGTTTTTTCCAAACATTGTATGTGTATTAAAATTAATCTAAAACATTTACCTGGAAATAACTATTTTTTCGTGTTCATGAATAAATTCCCATTGTCTGAAATTACCACATTCATATTGCTTTTTTCTATCTTATCTTCTTTTTTAGAAATTAAATACATATTTTTATGAAACTGTTTTTATAAAGAAGACAGTCCTGCAAAAAATAATGTGTGAAATGACTTTCTATTAAGAGTGAGCGATTAAGGAAACATAAATTAATAAGCTTTATGATACTTATATTTTTCTAAATAATTAAAATTATACTGTTATTCAATCTTGGCCAATCTTAAATAAATTGTACATTATTTAAAAGAATATTTCACTTGAACTTTTATAAATCGAAAAAAATGAACGTTTTGTAAATTGAAATAAAAATCGAACACTCTTCAATCTTGAGTAATTGATACCAAATAACGAACGTTATTCTGTTATTCATTCTCTTAACCTCAAATGGATGGTGATGAAAAAAATTAGCTTATAAATGAAAGAGATCCCTCATATACTAACCACTTCAGAAGAGTCCATGAAATTATTGATGTACAAAATATTGTACCACCAATGGTCCCTGCAATTTTTATACATTGGATTCATTCGAGAAAACCATGATGGACCAGATCCCCAGGTAGGAGTAACCAATAACAAAGCTAAAGTCAAAGCGTACTGTGGCGTGTACCTAGAAGGCAAATATTTATATAAATTTATTTTTATTAAAAACACTTATCTTATTTATTTTTATGGCATTATATCGGAAAGCATATTATTGGAAGAAATAATTTGATTTTGGTAAGAGTAACCAATAACAAAGCTAAAGTCAAAGCGTACTGTGGCGTGTACCTAGAAGGCAAATATTTATATAAATTTATTTTTATTAAAAACACTTATCTTATTTATTTTTATGGCATTATATCGGAAAGCATATTATTGGAAGAAATAATTTGATTTTGGTAAGAGTAACCAATAACAAAGCTAAAGTCAAAGCGTACTGTGGCGTGTACCTAGAAGGCAAATATTTATATAAATTTATTTTTATTAAAAACACTTATCTTATTTATTTTTATGGCATTATATCGGAAAGCATATTATTGGAAGAAATAATTTGATTTTGGTAAGAGTAACCAATAACAAAGCTNTATATATATATAGGATGAATATAGGTAGATATCTTGTTTAACCGAGATAAATTGTTAAAATTGTAAACTTGTGAATACTACTCATTTAGAAAAAATGATGTGATATCAATTGAAATAAAAAGACAAGTTTGTTTAGTTTATAATTTTAAAAGTTAAAAAAAAATCGCGTAAAACATATAAATTAAATATTGTAACGAAACGTTTTTTTTAATTATCAATTCAAAATTATCTCACTTCAGACTAAATTAAACAATTTTACAAACTTCATAATCGTTAAAAACGATTTTATTTAAATGGTAATAATATAAAATGTGAAGAGCATTCTATATTTTGAGATGTTTTGCTGACACAATTGCCTAGATTTTATGCATACATGTTATAATTACTGATTTATGACGGTGGGAAGAATAATTATTTTTTTTTATTTTTTAAAACCTAGAACTATAAATCAAAATATAAAAAATTTCTTTCCAATGAACATTTTCTTTAATTACCGCACAAGTTTGCAGCTATGTAAGACTTAAATAAACATTATTTTAAAAAAAATGTATCTAGAGCTTAATAAAAATAATAAATTTATCTAGAACTAAAATACATTGCACGTATTGATATAAGGTTTGATTTATACGTACAGTGAATAAAATACTTACTTAATACATGTCAACTATTATTTTCAATTAAAAAATACATTTTTGAAGCGAATGAAGTTATGATTAAGAAAAATCAATCATATCAATTTTGTACCTTCCAGCCTGTTTATAGCTAACAAGTACGCTTCTAAGCCATGTTAAGATGCTGTAACATTCAATTCAAATAATTGAAAAAATAATATTACAAATATTTTTTTTTCAAAAATAAATCATGTTTTGAAAAGAAAACACTAAGCGTGCAACTACTTCCGTATAAAAAGGAAGCAACTGGTAGCATTCTTTTTATTAATTAATGTTTGAATCAGTAGGAGAAGGTATATTAGAGAGCAAGTATTAGTAAGGTATATAAGTAGGGCAAGTAAGTGCAATATCTTTCACAGTTATAGTGATTTTTATTCAACTTTCTCCAGTATATTTTAAATTAAATTCTTGTTGCGTTGGAGTTTCATACCAGCTTTAACCTTTTCTGTTAGAAAACATCTACGGCATAATCAACCAATTTGTTATCTGTTTTCCCCTCTTACACTTTTCATAAACCAATGAGCCATGCTTCATAACCATAACCAATAGACTCAGTGGATAATTTATAAACCAATGAGTCATGCTTCATAACCATAACCAATAGACTCAGTGGATAATTTATAAGCCAATGAGTCATGCTTCATAACCATAACCAATAGACTCAGTGGATAATTTATGAGCCAATGAGTCATGCTTCATAACCATAACCAATAGACTCAATAGATAATTTATACACCAATGAGTCATGCTTCATAACCATAACCAATAGACTCAGTGGATAATTTATAAACCAATGAGTCATGCTTCATAACCAATAGACTCAGTGGATAATTTATAAACCTATGAGTCATGCTTTAGCTTTCAAGATTAACGGTCGTTATTCTTTCAGTCCTAACATTTATATTGCGTGTTATGTTTTAATAAATATTATTAAATTTGTTTAACCCTTTCGTTTCGAGTGCCGTATTCAAGCAATGTTCAGTGCAGAATCTAGCCACTAGATGGCGTTTTGCAAAGAAAAAATAATAATTATTAGTCCAAATCTAAGATTAAATGAAAGAAGATGCAAGCCTCATGTTTTACGTCTAATAAATTTGTTGTTATTTGTTTCATACTCGATCTCATTCTAGGTGTGAGAATTGTTGACTTAAAGAAATTGAATTGAAGTTTATAGATAACAGAACTGGCATGGAAATGTTTTTGTAAAATATGAGTTCATCTTTTCTCTTATGATTTATTTTTAAAAACTTACCTCCAATATTTTTTAAGGAAGAATTTCACAATGTTTAGTCCTTCATCTGGATCTTTCAAATATCGAAAAGCTGTCATTAATCCACTGTAAGGAAGAAGAAGAAATGAAATATTCTGTTAAAAATGTCTCTTTAAATGTAAAATCTTTAATTAGTACAATACTGTTTGTTCTTTAGTATATGAAATAGTTACCCAAGAGAAGTAAAGCATTTAATCCTTTAAAAATATAAGCTATAGAAATAAATATTAAATAAAATACAGCGCTACAGGGTATTTTTCGAATACATATTTTAACTTTTGATTTAAATAAAAAAAATGTTGAAACAATGTTTTGAGATGAATATATAAAATTTTAACGTATAAAAATGTCTCTGCAAGGAATTCAGTTACGTTGCTGAGAAAGAAATTGTATAAATTGTTCCAAGAGTTAGTAAAATAACATATAACAACATAGTGAAATAACATATTATGGAAAAATTAATTTACTTTTGGTGGCAAAAATATCTCTTAAAGGAATAACTGTATACACACACCAGAAAACAATTTAGAAAATATTTATAAGGATTTTAAAATAGCATATATTGGGATTTTAAAATATTAGCATATTTGATTAACAAAATTTAAAACTAAAAATTAAACATGATTTGAAAGTTTATAAAAGTTCTTGTATCTTTCAATATTTCCTTTCCTTGGCACTAAAGTTCATTATAAAACATATATATATATATATATATATATATATATATATATAATATACATAACATATACATAAACATACATATATATTGAATGCCTGTATAATTCTTCTTATTGTGCTTTTCTTCCATGTTTTCTCCAGATGTATGAAATCCTCTTCCAATTCCATTTGTCTTAAAAAAATATATGAAAAATATGTAAGACGAGATGAAGAAAGCTTTTGAAATAAATTTATTGCGCATAACTATTTGTCTTTCTCATTTATAGTTTTATTCATGTTTTTTATCGAAAGTTTTAAATTATTTTGACGGTTTTTAACTGGTTAATGGTTGCGATTTTTAAAAAAAATCCTTTGCAGTAAATTTATATGGCATTTCTAATACTAAATTTTTTGCTTTTAGTTTAAAAAATTTTTGATAGATGGTGCTGCAAATAACCCAGTAAATCATTCTAAAGCAATTGAAAATACAATTTTTTTATAATCTTTCAGTGAATAAAAATCACAATGCTATATTTTCACCATCAGCCACAATCATAAGTCGCTATCAGAATAACGGAATTTTCATGCAACAAAACGCAACAGGAAAAATGCTTGTGTATACTAAGAGCGCCATCTGTCGAAACAATTTGCAGGAACCTTCAATTAGGAAGAAAAAATTTATACCCTGTCTCATAAATTCACTGCAAAAATGCTTTTTTTTTTTTTTTGCAGGAAATTTATGTGACAGTATTTTTTGCTGGAAAAATTGAGAAAATACTAGTTTTCACAAATTCTTTTAAAGAAAAATCAAAAGATAAATACCATATTCCCCATCTGAATCCACAATCACTTGTAATCAGAATGGCGAAGTTTGCATGTAAGAAAACGCAACGGCTGTGCCTTACTAATAAAATTACTTAATCTATTTTGCATTATAAAATAAATGAAGTTATATATTTAAAAAATTAATTTAGATCAGAGATGTTTTTAGGGGCCCTGGGCCTATCTTCATTTGAGGGCTCTTAATAAGTAATTTTGAAGAAAAAATTTTACTTTTGAATATTGAATACAGAAATGAGCCACAAAAATAACAATATTCCTAATTGGACTAAATTATTCTCCTAGGCCAAATCATGCGTGAAATATTCTAATTATAGCGCTAGGACCACGATGGCTCAGGGGATAGAGCGTTCGCCTTCCAATGAGGTGAACTGGGTGCGAATCCCAGCAATGNTTTTTTTTAAAATCTCTCCACAGATTATTTTGATCTTTTGATTTTTATTATCTGTTAACAATATAAATTCAGAATCTCTTCTTATTTTCTAGGTGTAAGAGCATTTTATTTAACTTTGGTTAAGGCGCACCGTGTCCTTTGTTAACATGGTAACGATATTAGTTACCATGTTAGGAGTCAGTTTTCTTGTAAGAATGAAGAGGATGTTGTTGGACATAACGCAGCACAACGGACTATGGCCAGTGCCCTTGCGCTCATAAGGTAATCCCTAAAGTGCTGTTGCTTCAATGTCTCTCTCAGAACCTCTTAACTTTAGCTGAAATAGAGCTGATTCCTTTGTTAACATGGTAACGATATTAGTCACCATGTTAGGAGTCAGTTTTCTTGTAAGAGTGAAGAGGATGTTGTTGGACAAAACGCAGCACAACGGACTATGGCCAGTGCCCTTGCGCTCATAAGGTAATCCCTAAAGTGCTGTTGCTTCAATGTCTCTCTCAGAACCTCTTAACTTTTCTTTACTTTCTATAATTTCTTAATGCCAGTATATTATACTGGCATGTCAAACGTATCGGGGTCACCGAATCTCCAAGTATGAGTTGTGTGAAATACTGTACAAGTTACAATGCCACCCTAGAGGCGACGGGACCAGTTCTATGGATCCGGTCGCAAGTACAAGCGAAAACAAAACTATGTTTCGTTTTTATAGACTCCACGTTTTCTAGCTGAATTTCTTTCCTTTTTTCCCCTCGATCAAATTACCCAAGGCGCGCAGGTAGTCCACCAGCTGAGTGCAGTAAATCTAACAGTTTAATCCCAAGCTCCAATATCCAATTTAATTTCTCAGTGCTATTCACAATAGGCATTCATTAATACTATAATAACTATTCCCATGCTTTGTATAATAATAATCCATGCTCAATCCATAATTCCATGGTTGTAACTTTGATTACTATTTTATAATATATCATAATATCCAACTATCCACTGTTTTTTTTAAAATAATGTTATCTATCTGTACCAAATTTTCGAATTTTAACAACCCATAATTTAAACATTAATAATCTACTTTTTATATATAAATTATTAAGTTCTTAAAAATGTACTTCTGCAATGTAATGTTATCAATCACTGAACTACTTCATTAACTACATATCCCAATGATTACAAATACAACTTAAATAAACAATGTAATTCTGTTATTACATATGTAACTCTTGTAAATATGTAATACATATACATATGTAACTAATATGTAGCTTTTGCCATTTATGTTATTTATTAAAAGATACGTTATCTATGTAATGTGCTGAAATAGCTTAGCAGTAGTTGTAACTGTATCTCTCTATTACTCTACCCTAACTCAATTACTTAATGATGTCTAAACTTAACTTATGTACCTGTGCTTAATAAATTTAATGTTTTATGTCTCTAAATAACAAATACAAATCATTATCATAATTAGCAACGAATAAATCCAACTACAATAGTACTCAATATCAACTAATTTGTAAGCACCATACTAATCTTAATTCGAAGGTAGGTCACCAGGTTTATCCTCCCAAACATTCAAATTAACGATTGACCACTGGCCACAGTCATCAATCTGAACCAGCTACTTAACCTAAATCTGATTCTAAGTCCTATCCCTTATTATGTAACTAAACTCCATAATAGTTAACCTAATCAACCCAAGTGATGCTGCTTAATTATGTAATTTCTTAATTCCACCGATTAAAGCGTTATTTCAGTTGTGTCTGTATTTATATTGTAATTTTATTTAATTGTACTAATCAAAATTCCCTTTCAGCAATCTCAGACAGACGAGCTTTAAATTGGGCACTAGGTTCGCGGGACTGGACACACCACTTCTGGGTGACGGCTGTGTGGTTCCCGTGTCCGGGGGCCCTGGATCCTTCTGACCATCGGAGTGCTGGGGATGCTATATTCTGATAGTCAACATTCTGGTAGAAAACTAGGGGCCTTAAGTTCGATCCTGACAGAAAACAGAAAAGCTGGTGTGTGTATGCTGTTAGGTTTTCTTTAAATCTGTCGGAGCTGAAAGTCCTCTGTTGTGAAAGCCCTCTGTTTGAAGAAAGGCGCATACCTGCCTGATTCATCCCTACTGTGTGCGTCATATACACATCATTAACTGTTGCTGATCATTTCATAAAATCTTTCAAAAAAGCATATGCGCAGTGGCACGGCAGTGACCGCGAAAAGCCGTAAAAAAAATTTTGCCAACAAAAAAACGAAAAATTTATAGGCTTGAAATCATGCTACTGCCAGGAAAATAGCAAAAGATATTGGACCAAAATGAACTAGATATGGTTCAATAAAATATTTATCCAGTTTGCGAAAATTGCCATCAATTTTCATAAAAAATTTTTTAAAAAAACATCGAAATTACTTTCCGAACAGCCCAATATGTTGAGTAAAGCTTTCTAGAATATTCTGAGAACTATTGGATGAAAAATGATGAAGGGTAAATCACTTTGTTGTTTAATTTTAAACTTATCTTGCATTTTTTTTGCCCATATTGTTCTTGTCAAATAAGATAAATTAGTCAAAACAATTCATTTCCTGCACCGCCCCTAATTTTGAATAACAGATCATTTATTTTACTAAGTCGCATAGTATCTGTCTATATTTATCAATAAAAAGATGATACGATAAGTGAAATTAATAGAATCACCTATCGATATGTTTAAGAATGCGTGTAAGGTTTTTAATTAACTTTTCTACGTTTGAAAAAAAAATGCATTTTCTTTGTTGTAATCGAAATTGGCTGATGTTTTCGATTTCATTGTCCTTGGGGAAAAAAATGATAAATAGTTCTTCATGAAGAAAGGTAGGGGTTGAATCTGTAATGGGATAAACGCTGAATAATTTCAAAAATTGTTCGAGGAAAAAAGTATATTTTCCGTGACGTCACTGATAGAATAATAGATACAGAATAGAATTATCTTTAATATTCAGGATCAGACATTATAAAATCATGTGACTGTAAAATTGAAGAAAAAACTATAATTGGTACGTAACAGAGATTCTAACCTCTCCCATTTTTACGGAAGATTTTTTTAAGTACTTAAAATTGTAGCGAATTTTATGTTTAGCCATTTGACTTTCGAAACGATACATAAAAAGTTTATGTACACATATGTATATATATTTTTTCTTGATTTTTAGGTATAATTATGTACATAAAAATCGATTCCGATGCATAATAATTTTAAATCGATGCATAAACGCTATTACTTTGAATCAAATATAATTGCGTTATCACTTTGAATATTATACGAAGATACAAGGGGCAGCTACTTTTTATGTCCAAAGTTTGAACCCTTTAATGTTGATTTTACTTTTTGCGTATGTACAAATGGAAAAATTTTTGCTCGTATGTACAAATGTTGATTCAAAGTTTTAGCAAAATGCCAGTCTGTAAAAAACAGTAAAGCCTGCGGTACAATAAACTGTTATCCTCCGCCTTCTAAAAATGTTCTTTTCCTGTTTTATCTAGCAGATGTGTATCTTTTGAAAATTGCTATATTTATTAACGTGGTTCTCTAGTCAATAGCCATTCCATTTTTTTTTCAAAAAATAAAAGATTTTATGTATGATACGAGAACTGAAAAGAAAATTAAAGATATATTTTTCCACGTTAATTTTTAGACCATTAAGATCATAAAGTTATTAATAAAGACAACAGAGTACTTCAAGCAATTAAACCAATTTTGAAAAAAAAAATTTAAATCATATATTCAATGCATACGACGCGTTCTCCTCTGCTTGGAGAAGTGAATGATTTAACCCTTCACACTCCGAGCATTTTAATTTGCTGTTTGAACTATTGTAAGCACTAAATCACTTAAAATACATAATACATTAGTTTTGTATAATTTTTAAAATTCATAAAATATTGTGATTACTAATTATTAACATGCAAGAATTTTTATTTTAGAGTGATGACTTAGGCAAGAGAGATTCACCATTTTAACTTTAGAATGGTGTAACTTTAGAGGCGACATCCAAGTGCAAAAGGTTAATCAAGAGCTAATCAAAAGGTTTAATCAATGGTTAATCAAAATTGATTTTGAATTCCGCAAGATAATTACTCTCCTATGAATTTTCGGAAGGATTTATCATTAACTTTAATTTCGAATATAAGGTGAAGCATAGATGACGAAAACGAACGCGTTCGAAATTGCTTTGAAATAGACTATTATTTATCATTGGCAGTTATGAATGAATGCAGAATCATGGGTAAATTGTATTGATTATGATTGGTCAATTATATCATGATGTAAACTGCCACGAAATTAAAAAAATCACAGTAGTATCAGGTCATAAATAATCGCGAAAGTCAGGTACCACAGCAATATCATGATGCGAATTATCATGAAATTTATAAACCACAGTAATATGATGTGAATTATAATTAAATTTATAAACGATAGTTATATCATGTTGTGAGTTATCACGAAATTTGTGAACGACAATAATAGCAAGGTGTGAATTATCATATAATTTATGAAAGACAGTATTATTATGATATGAATTATCATGAAATTTATGAAGGACAGTAATAAAATTATTATGAAAATTATTAATGTCTGCTGATTAAGAATGGCAAATATTTAACTTCATTCATGCGAATCAAGCGATGAATATCAATTCATCTTGCTTTTGATTTAAGTCCATTTGCATTCTTATCTCTCTGCTAGCATGCAGGCAAGGCGTAGAGAACGAGATAATGCGTCAAAAAAAAGAAGAGAAGGAAGGACTGAACGTAATATTACGTCAAACACAAGGTTCACAAAATACCCTATCGAGTAATATTACGCTAAAAAAAGGCAACAGGTTAGGTCTCTAATAAATTATTAAGTGCTGTATCATAGCTGACGAGCATAAATGTATCCGAAATAACTACCCTGTAATTGACAAGAAAGGTAATGCCATATACGAAACTATGGTTATCTTGTGATTGGAAAGTAATATTAAGCCAAAAATAGGGGGTACAAAATACCCTATAGAGTAATTTTACGCCAAAAACAGGGTGCGCAGAATACCCTATCGAGTAATATTACGCCAAAAAAGGGCAACAGGTTAGGTCTCTAATAAATTATTAAGTGCTGTATCATAGCTGACGAGCATAAATGTATCCGAAATAACTACCCTGTAGTTGACAAGAAAGGTAATGCCATATACGAAACTATGGTTATCTTGTGATTGGAAAGTAATATTAAG